CCTCCTGAGTAGCTGGGATTACAGGCACGCACCACCATGCCCAGCTAATTTTTTGTATTTTTAGTAGAGACAGGGTTTCACCATGTTGACCAGGACGGTCTCAATCTCTTTGACCTCGTGATCCACCCGCCTCGGCCTCCCAAAGTGCTGGGATTACAGGCGTGAGCCACCACGCCCGGCCCCAGACTGCTTTTAAGAAAGCACTTTAGAATTAGTGGACTTAGAAGTCCTGTAGGTAGGTGACATTGAGCTGAAGCCTGAATGATATTCTCCAAAGGCACAAGCTTTTCAAACATGACTAGCTCAAGCTTCACAGCCTTTTATTCACTAACTTGTTACCATGCCAATGTTAGAGTTACCGTTGGTTTGTCTCCAGAAAAAATTTTGAATTGTCTCCAGATAGTTCCAATTAAAAGTAAATGAAACCATTCATTATCATCTATTCAAAGATTCATTCTTCAGCTACACAAGGGAGGACAGATTTCCTGGAAGAGATGGAAAAGGATATGGGGTGCTGTGAATGGTTGGGAGACACCTGCCACTGGGAATTTGTGATTGAGTATTTAGAGATTTGAGGGCAGTATAAGCACTAAAGACAATGTTTAAATCTTTATGATTATTTATCCGCTTTGTAGCTTCCTTAACAAATTCTATCAACTGATAGGATTCTACATTTGACACTAAAATATATACAATTATCAGTCCTCCTCAGTTATCTGGGGTTATGAAAAAGAAAACACAGACATATTGCAAGTGGCAGTACAACAACAGAGCTTTACTGTGGCATTTCAATTTCTCTAAAATTACTACTGGATCTTTAGAAGTGCCAGCCACCGGGGCAGCACTCTTCCAGGCAAACATTATGACTAAACTGTAAAATATTGTGAGATGTATTCATGAAGGAGGTGAAGACAAAATCAAACAGAAATGAGTGAGGAAGCAGCATACTGAAACGATGAAATAGGGAGGTTTTTCTGCAATTTATAAATTTCAGCGTCGAATGTTTTGGTTGTGAGGTCTTCTTAGTCTAATGCTCACCATTCTAAGCATAATTAAGTTCACCAATACTTTGGGGGTCCCTACTATAGCAATCAAAGTTCTTCTGTGAAGGGCTGAAATGATGAATAAGTGATGGTTCCAACCCTTAAAAGCCTTATAATGCAATGAAAGGCTAAGGAGAAAAGTTCAGGTGCTGATTACCTATTAAAATAAGGCAGGTTTTAAGACAGTTATTATAGAGACTAAGGCAAAGTATTGTGAAATTACAGAAAAAATAATAATTAAATAATCCAGTAGAAGTATCTGCAGATGCTGTCCAGAGGAACTGATATCCTGGCTGAGATGGAAATAACAGTTATGGGCAATAATGGTGTTCTAGGTGGAGGGAATAAAGTGATCAGATACCAAGATGGCAACACACAGGCAATATTCAGGGAACACAGAGTAGATACGTGTGGTCAGGGGACAAATAAAGAGTTTGGTGAGAGGAATTCTATAGAAATAGAGTGAAAGAAACATGGGTTGGGACTAGAGTTAAAAGAACTTTAGATTGGCAAGTAATGAGATACCATTGAACATTTTTTAGTAGAGTAACTGGCTAAAGTGTAAAGAATGGACAGAAAGAGCAGCAGTATGCATTAATTCCAGTTTATTTATAGAAACACTACCATGGACCAGGTATTGGGATTCGACCTCAAATTTGGGGATTGCATAATTTTTTGATAGAATGGACGACAGTTTGTGAGGAGAAGGAAGAGTTGAAGATGATTCTGCCTTTCCAAGTCTGGGTGACTGGGAGAATGTTAATGCCAGTCTCTAAGCAGAAGCAGGTTTGGAGTGGAATAGGTTTGGTTTTGGGCATGCTGTTCACATGACAAAACTGATGTGACATATCCTATTTCCTGATTCCTCCTGGGATTGTCCAAGAGCTATTACCATGACTAATAGTTCACATTGGAACAACGCCTTGTGGATAAAACGCCACAGGTACAATTTACGTGTGACACATTACGTTCTTCTGGCAACTGGGTAGTTACTATGAAAGACTGGCTGTTCAAAGTTCAAATCATCTTCATGGCACAATGCCGATTGCACACCCACAGGATACCTTAACCCGGTACACTTCAAAGACAATATTCTCGCCCTCACAACAGAGCTATACATTGTAAACTGCAAACTGAAAAGTAGCCTTTATTCCGAGGGAATATCAATTGAATATTATTCCACCAAATTACCAAAACAATTTTTTTGGCAGGGGGTGGGGCAGGAGCCTCGCCAGAGACTGACTGTGGTGTAGGATTCAACAAAAGCACATCTGCAGCAGGACCCCCGTGGAGGGGAACGAAAGTCTTGGGTTGTCTTTCACCAGAATTGTGTTCAGCAACTCACATTCTGGAGCCAACCCGCAGATTAGAATTCAGCTTCGGCACCACACAGTAGTGATCTCGGACAAGTTAACCTCTTCTGCCTCAAATTCTTTACCTGTAAAACATCCATCACTGGGACTGAATACTTGGCTGCCAGGCACTGGGCTAGATACAGGTTTACAGCGGTGAGGACCACTAAGGGGAATTAAAATTCGAATGTAGGGAACAGGCGATTAACAAGTTAGTTTCAGAATGAAAGACTCCTAGTGTAAGAATTCAATGGGATAATTCCTGTAAAGCGTTTAGTACAGTAAAGAGCGAAAGGAAACTCTGAATAAAAGGTAGATACTGTTTTAGGATTTGACCCTCCCTGCCCCCTACCAAAACCAGGTAAACTCTCAGTGGAAGCGACTTATTGTTTTGTGCCTAAAGGCAGCTTTTGGGATAGAGAGGGTTCTCTCTTCCTCCTTGGAGTAAGTGCGATTTACCAGTCTTTATCGACCCACCCAACCCCAGGGACATTTTGAGGGGAGAGGTTCCGTGGAGTTAAGACGTCTAAGTGTCCTCTAATAAAGCCCCTTCGCAAAGGTGCCAGATTGGGGTGAGGGAACCTCGCTGCTCCCACAAGGGCTGCGCACAAGAAAAACCCAAAACACAAGTTCTTTTGGTCTCCCCACAAAGCAGAGTAAAGGAATTTTCCCCGCCCCCCAGCCGCCTGCAGCCCAGAGACCCCCACCCAGCTAACAATGGCGCTGGAGAGGGCGTGGCCCCGCGCATCTGCGGTGGGGGAAGGGAAGAAAGGCGGCCAGAGCGCATCAGAGCCTCTTGCAGGGTCACGTGACATCCTGCCTCGCCCCGCCCCGCGAACACACCAGGACTGGGAGGGATTCGGGAGGGGGCGGGGAGGGATTCGGGAGGGGGCGGGGAGGGATTCGGGAGGGGGCGGGGAAGCGGATGGAGAGGGCGGACTGGTGGTTACGGGAAGTGACGAAGGGGCGTAGTTCGCTGCGTGCGGCGACGTGGCGGTGGGGCCGACACCGGGCAGCGGAAGTGGCTCCAGCGGTGGGACCTGAGTGTTTGTGTTTTCGTTCATGAAGGAGCCGGCGGCGGACCTGAGGGGAGGAGGCAGAGGGAGGAGGAGGCAGAATTAGTCGGAACTCGAGCGCCGGCAGCGGCGGCGGCGGAGGAGGAGAAAGGAAAGAGGGAGGCGGAGCGGCGAGAGGCGGAGACGGAGCCCGACAGGGGCGGCACCACGGCAGGAGCCCCGCACAGTCCACTGTGAGGGGAGCGGCGCGAAGAGCAGACGCCGCCACCACCGCCGTAGACACACTCGTCCCACTGGCCACGCCTGGGCCTTGCTGCCTGGAAGCTTCGGCCCCGCAGCTCCGCTTGCTGCTGTCTCAGGTAACCGAACCGCCCCTCCCCCTGCGCCCCGGGGGCCTGGACCTCAGGTTATCCGCGGTCCCCAGCCTGTCCGCGGTCCTGCCGGCACTGAGACCCCCGCCCCTTCTCCCTCACGCGCACCACTGTCCTGGACCAGGGAACTATCGAACTCAGCGTCTTGTTATGCCAGCCCTGGTGACTCATCCTCAAGGGGCTCTGGAGACCGGGATTTGGGGACTGACTGAGGGAGCGACGGGTGTCACCCTTTCCCTTCTCAAGATGGCGCCGTGGAAAGTGTACTGGAGGCCGCGGTTCCGCCTGTTCCCTGTCCTGGCAGTTCTGGGGGTCTCGGTCAAAGCCAGGCAGGTTCGGGGGAGGAGGTTGGAAAGGCCAAGGGACCTGGCGAGTGCTGCTTATCCAGGCGATCTGGAGTTGGCTGTTAGCTACTCAGGTGCTCTCCTAGCAGGAACCCGGGCCTACTGCAGGTGTGAATGTGGGGAGCTTCGCCTACCTTCAACTTCCAAAGACGGGTGGTGGAGGGGGTGGGGGGCTTGTCAAAATAGCCTGTCTAGAGGCTCGACTCTTATGTATATGGAAGGTAGTGAACTACGGCTTTAAAGAGATTCAAGATAACAGGACCGCTGAACTCCTTCCCTGTGTAGAGACGTTGAAAGTTGCTCTGATGTTGTCTTCCCTGGAAGCTGCTTTGCCTTCTGAGACTTCCAGACTTTTAAGTTCTGAACGACATAGTTCGCATATTTAATTTTTGTATTGCTTTAGTGGAATCAAGGCGTTCGATCAGTTGTTGCCTTACACATAATGAGACAAAACAGTTGCACCTCTGGGAATACTCAGGATTGCTCATTATAAACTTTATTCCTAAAGTAAAATGGAAATGATAACTCAGCATTTGTGTAAGCAAAGTACATGGAACAGTGCCCGGCACAAATTAAGTCAGTAAATTTTTTGATCAAAGAACCCTTAGAAGGATTTTAACTATAGAATGAATAAGATATTTTCAAAAGATTACAATTGTATATTATGCAAGATTCTTGTTTTGCAAAACGGGTTTCAGTAAGAAGTGTATACAAATGAATGCACCTAATTTTTAACCTTAGTGTTAGGCTAAGTGTATATTTACTATTAAGTTATTTCCTGTTTGAGATCCCTGGACGGGGGTGGGAGGGGGAATAACCACAATTGAGTAGATTTGAACCTTAAAAGTCAAAGTGAAATCAAAATCTTGCTTGATTTTGATTTCCTTTTTTTTAGTGGGAGAGTGGGAGTCTGGTGTCCCTGAAATTTTGGAAGTACCTTAGAAATTTGGAGCATGCCAGGCGCGGTGGCTCAAGCCTGTAATCCCAGCACTGTGGGAGGCCGAGGCGGGTGGATCACGAGATCAGGGGATCGAGACCATCCTGGTCAACATGGTGAAACCCCGTCTCTACTAAAAATACAAAAAATTAGCTGGGCATGGTGGCGCGTGCCTGTAATCCCAGCGACTCAGGAGGCTGGGGCAGGAGAATTGCCTGAACTCGGGAGGCGGAGGTTGCGGTGAGCCGAGATCGCGCCATTGCACTCCAGCCTGGGTAACAAGAGCGAAACTCCGTCTCAANGTCTCAAAAAAAAAAAAAAAAAAGAAAAAAGAAAAAAAAAGAAATTTGGAGCATACTGTCCCTGATGAATAATTTCTTGTTTAGTAGTTAAAAGGATAAATGGAAAATGTTTCAGTTGATACTGAGTGTGTAATATCTGAAGATGTGTTGGTCCATTTTCAGTATATATGATGTTCTATTGATATTTTGTCATTTTCTTATCAAAGGACCACATTATTGGCAATTTCAATCCCTACTGTATTAGAGATTATTTACATGTATTGTTTCATTTAATTCTCGCAGCAGCTATTTAAGTTAGATATTATGGGAATAGAGACTTGGAAATTAAAGAGTTTGCCCAGGTGGAAATTGGTGTAGCCAGGATTAGACCCCCAAATCTAGTGTGTTTGTGGGTGAGGGGGCATTTTTATTTATACCTTGTTATTTGGAAGCAACTCAGACATTGTATTTTTAAATATTTCAGTATGTAATGGTAAAAGATAAGGACTCTAAAAAGCTGGTGTTAAGGCAGGGAGACGTTTTTATTGCCTTAAGAACATCTCATGGATATGTTAGTTCATTGTGAAGAGCTTTTCTTATAAACTCAATTTATGGAGAAAGTATATTACTTTCGTTTTTTGTTTTTAATATAGAGACAGGATCCCACTATGTTGCCCAGGCTGGTCTCAAGCAATCCTCCTACCTCGTCCCCAATGTGTGGTGATTACTGGTGTAAGCCCCTGTCTCTGGTGCAAAAGGCTTATTTCTTATATGAGGTAGCTAAATGAAATATAAATGATTCCTTCTCCTTTTTAGAGAAGGAATCATCAGGTTTAATATATTAGCATATATTTGGATTTTGATTAAAGATAGAAGGAAACTGTGAACATTGGTTTGTGAGTAGATTGAAAAAAGTTCTTCAAATATTCGCTAATTCCTTAGAGATTAAAAGTTAGCATAATTAGATAATGGTAACACATAGAAGTCAACATTGAGGCTAGTTTTTTAAAATGTGTTGTTTAAATAAAAAAGAATGGCTTGCAGGTTGGGCATGGTGACTCACACCTGTAATCCCAGCACTTTGGGAGGCTGAGGTAGGAGGGTTGCTTGAGCCTGGGAGTTCTAGATCATCCTGGGCAACCTAGCAGGACAATGTCTGTACCGACAAATTAGCCCAGCATGGTTCTGAGTGTCCTGTAGTCACAGCTACTCAGGAGGTTGAGACAAGAGGAGTGCTGGAGCCCAGGAGGTTGAGGTTGCAATGAGCTGGGACCACGACACTGCACTCCAGCCTGGGTGAGAGAGCAAAACCCTTTCTCAAAAAAATTAAAGTTTATAAAAAATGGCATGTATATTGTTCGTCCAAAAACTACAAAAAAGTTACAGTTGGTGTAAGTAGATAAAGAGTAATAATCCCGCCACACAGAAAACAACTGTTAGCATTTCTTTGTATGGTATACTTGAGCAGATGAGGAAACAGTTTTAAGTCTTTCCACCATTAAGCACACAAACCCTGGTGACTGAAAATATTTGTTGTCCAAATTACCATTAAGCATTGTTTAACAGAAGACTTCGAATAATAGTAAATTCTGGGATCTGTTCTAAAATCTTCCCAGTTATTAATAACATAATTTTTCTCAAAAGAATGTTAACCCAAGTAGCCTGGCTCTAGAACTTGAACTCTTGAGTCATCTCTCAGGTTCCCTGGATTTGAAACTCAGCTCTGTGTCACTTCTGTCACAGTAACTCTGTGACCTCAATTAAGCTTCTTCACATCTCTGTGCAGGCTTCCTCATTTATAAGGATTGTAATAATATCTCATTTTATAGGATTGTTGAGAAGTTAAGTACTTAAAAGTACTGCCTAGCACAAAGTTGAAGCTTTGAGGTTAGCCTTAAAAATAAAGTGATTTTGAGCTCAAATCCTATACCTTTAAATTTTCTTTAAAAGATAGTGACATAATCTAAAGGACATTGAAGGTCTGGTAGAGCTTAAAATAATCATAATATGCTATAGGCAAAATTTAAAGTGATTAATAGTAAATTTGCTTTACTGATTTGTATATTTACTTCATAATTGTTTCTTTACAGGTTTCTTTACCTCCAGAAAGAAGAAGATTGACCCCTTGAATTCTGGAAGTTCATTGAAGAGTCTGAAATTAGGGATTTATTTCAAATTTGGACATGGCTAATCGAGGTGCAACAAGACCCAACGGGCCAAATACTGGAAATAAAATATGCCAGTTCAAACTAGTACTTCTGGGAGAGTCTGCTGTTGGCAAATCAAGCCTAGTGCTTCGTTTTGTGAAAGGCCAGTTTCATGAATTTCAAGAGAGTACCATTGGAGGTGAGATTTTTTTTTCTCTGCTTCATTTAATCAAATCATACATTGACAGAAAATATTTTCATGTTCCAATTGTGTGATGGAATAAGTCACAGAGTGAAGAAAAGAGTTATTCAGCTGACCTTAAGCTTTACAACTTACCTTTATCTTTGTTGAAAGGATGTCTTTTTACATTTGATTGTTTGGTTAATTCCATGTGGTTATATTGTAGCTAAAATACAGTTAAAAACATGAGTAGAATCAGTGTTTCAAGTTATAAAATTTAATCTGGTATCTACTTCTTGCTGACAACTAGAAGCTTCTTCAAATTAATACAGTACATATTTGTGCTCAGTTATATTGGTTTAAAATGAATAGTAAAAAAGATAACTTTAAATTCTGATCTATATAACTGAACTATTTGTGAATAATTTATACTTGTGAAATTAATTAAATACTGTTAGATGTACTTTTTTTGTTATTTGAAAGACGGGATCTAGCTGTTGTGTAGACTGGAGTGCAGTGTCAGGATCATACCTCGCTGCAGAGTGCAGCCTGGAACTCTGGGCTCAAATGATCTTCCTGCCTTAGCCTCCCAAGTAGTTGGGCCTACAGGTGCATACCATCCTGCCAGGAAAGTTTTTTTTTTTTTTTTAAGAGTCAGAGTATTGCTGTGTTTCCAGGTTGATCTTGAACTTCTGGCCTCTGGTGAGCCTCCAGCCTCAACCTCCCAGGTAGCTATGGTTACAGGTGCTCTCTGCTAAGATGTACATGTAAGAATGCTCCTAAGCTGGGGAAAGAGAAAAAGTGATTATTGGAAAGGGACATGACAGGAAAATGGAACCTGGAGAAAAAGATGAAAGAAGGGAAAGAGTAGGCACTGCACAAGGTGGCTATGGTGGGACAGAGATGAGGGAAAGGTAAGATGCAGGGCAAAAAGGGGACAACAAACAGTATAGTATTGTCAAGAAAAGACATGAAAATGCGAAAACTGAATTTTAGCTGGGCGTGGTGGTGCATGCCTGTAGCCCCAGGTATTTGGAGGCTGAGGCAGGAGGATTATTTTAGCCTAGGAGTTCAAGTCTAGCCTAGGCAATATAATGAGACCCACATTTCTTAAAAAAATACGTTAACTTTAATCAAAGAAACCTATAATTATATAACAGTGGAACGAGATAGGTTCTTTTGTGCCTCTGTTTTATCTGTGAAATGATGCTTTTCAATAAGATGATGTGTGGGAAGAACTACATGGTTTGAGATTCACAGTATTTTGCAAGTGATATATATATAAGCAATGCTATTTTCTAAGGTATTCATGTATATACTTTAACCCCATATTGTAAAATTAAAGTCAAACTTTTGAAATACATGAGACAAGTAGATACCAGCTGGCATGTGGCAACTTCTTAAAATCTTTAAGAAGCAAAGCTTTATACTGTGCATTTAGTGAGTGCTTTTAAAAGCAAGTTTGAGAATGTTATTCATAATCTTAAACCCATTCTAGTAAGGTAATTTACAGAACTCTACTACCTCCTGGCCTTTGTGTATCTTGTTACAATGTTATGTTAGAATGCTTTATGTTTTTTTCTAATGACTGAGTATCAGAAAGCATCATGCAGCTTTTATTTCAAGTCAGAAGTGTTGGCATTTTAAAAAATGTTAATACACGATATATTAGATATCCTTTGTGTTTTTTTTTTTTTTCTGAAGGCACATGCATATGTGATTTTTTTTTATTAAGATAGAAAATTATTTTTTGTTAAAATTTTTAGTAAAATAGTAAATATTACTTTACTAAAATAATTGTTTTACTAATATTAACTAAAATAACATTTTAGTAAATAATAAAAACTCTGAAGTACTGTAGTATAGAACTTAATTCTTGCAGAGCTTTGCAAGAGCTTAAGACTAGAAATTTTATCTTGTTTTGGCTAATCCACTTCTAACTTTATTTTACTTTAATGATAGCTCAAGAAGGATGTTTAAAGTAAAAATATAACCCCATATCCAGTGTATCATAAATAATATCTCTGGTATGTGTGTATCTGTATAATCTCCATTTAACACCAATTAGAGTGTCTAGATTTCGTTAATGAATTTCGTAGATTTTAATTTCTATGTATAAAGCTTCCAATTTAAAAAAAAAAAAGGGGGGGCCGGGTGCGGTGACTCAAACCCGTAATCCCAGCACTTTGGGAGGCCGAGGCGGGTGGATCACGAAGTCAAGAGATTGAGACCATCCTGGTCAACATGGTGAAACCCCACCTCCACTAAAAATACAAAAAATTAGCTGGGCATGGTGGTGCGTGCCTGTAATCCCAGCTACTCAGGAGGTTGAGGCAGGAGAATTGCCTGAACCCAGGAGGCGGAGGTTGCGGTGAGCCGAGATNTGAGGCAGGAGAATTGCCTGAACCCAGGAGGCGGAGGTTGTGGTGAGCCGAGATCGCGCCATTGCACTCCAGCCTGGGCAACAAGAACAAAACTCCATCCCAAAAAAAAAAAAAAAAAAAAAAAAAAAAAAGAGCATTTCCATCTGAGGAGAGATCTACAGACTTCTAAGGCTCTAAGACTGACATTTCTTCTGCTATAAAGATGATAGGTTGTAAGTATTATCACAAAATCATAAAAAGTTATCCAAAATTGTTTAACAGGTTATTCAATCTTCCCAGGGTAGAAGAAGACAGCATAGATTGTTATTAGCTAGTAAAAATTATCAAGTAATAGGTTCTAATTCGTTTCCTCTGAGCCATTTTATAGACCTCGATTTATAAAAAGGAATTTGCATCCAAATTTCTATTAATCGTTTTTTTTTTTTTTTTTTTTTTTTTTGAGACAGGATCTCTGTTGCCCAGGCTGGAGTGCAGTGATGCAGCCTTGGCTCACTACAACCTCCATTTCTTAGGTTCAAGCAGTTCTTGTGCCTCAGCCCCCAAGTAGCTGGGATTATAGGCATGTGCCCCACTCCTGGCTAATTTTTGTATTTTTAGTAGAGATGGGGTTTCACCCTGTTGGCCGGGCTGGTCTTGAACTCCTGGTCTCCTTGGAGATCTGCTTACCTTGGGCTCTCTAAGTGCTAGGATTACAGGCATGAGCCACTGCCCCAGCCAAAATTTCTCTTAATCCTTTCTGGACACTTTTTCACTGTGCTGACCCCATGTTAATACTATTCAGGAGATATGACAGTACCATTATGATTACAGCTGTGGACACTGTTCTTTCATGCAGTGTGTTCATAGCTCTTCGCTTTTAGGAACTAGAGTATATCTAAAGCATTTAAGAATTTTAAGGTTTGAGCTATTTCACGATAAACCCCAAAGGTCCGTAACTTATAGGTAATATGTATTTTCGTTTTGGCTGACATGTAGTAAAAGTTACCTGAAAAATGAAGCCTGCCAACTCTTTTGCATTTCAACTGTTTGTTTGTTGGTGAAGGAGTCTTACTCTGTGGCCCAGGCTGGAGTGCAATGGTGTGATCGCAACTCACTGCAACCTCAGCCTCCCTAGTAGCTGGGATTACAGGTGCACACCACGACTCCCAGCTAACTTTTGTATTTTTGGTGAAAACAGGGTTTTGCCATGTTGGCCAGGCTGGTCTTGGACACCTGACCTCAAGTGATCACCTGCCTCGGCCCACCAAAGTGCTGGAATTACAGGTGTGAGCCACTGCACCTGGCCTCAACTGTTTATTTTTTACTTGACTGTTTATATCTCCTAACATGAGTTATTTATTCTGAAGCATTCACTTAAAATTTTCATCTCTATTCGATTGTGTTCGAAGGTGGGTATCATATGTTACACTCTTGATTTGTGGATACTGGATTCATTAAGAAGATCAAGATTTCTTCTGTAATATGTGTGGTTCTTCCTAAAAACAGTAACTTGATTTAAGAATTCCTGTTGCTCTGGGTGGTGTGGTGGCTCGCATCTATAATCCCAGTACTTTAGGAAACTAAGGTGAGCAGTTCATTTGAGTCCAGGAGTTTGAGACCAGCCTGGCCAACACGGTGAAACCCTATCTCTACAAAAATGTAAAAATTAGCCGGGCATGGTGGCACACACCTGTAGTCCCAACTACTAAGGCTGAGGTGGGAGAATTGCTTGAACTAAAGAGGCAGAGGTTATAATAAGCCGAGATAGCACCACTGCACTCCAGCCTGGGTGACAGAGTTGAGAACCCTGTCTCAAAAAAAAAAAAAAAAATAATGAATCTCTGTTGCCTCACCATACTTCATGCCTCTTACCCGTAATAGCGCTCTTGATGAAATCACGTGCAGGAGGTTTAGCAATTTAGAGAATTCTAACTTGTTTGTAGAGGTTTAAAGTTTGCATGACATTTATATTTCTATTCTTTGTCTAAAGTTAGTCCAGAGGTTAGCCAGGGTAGGCTCAGAGAGTTGTCTTCCTTCTTTATTTGGTATTGCATCTCTAGGGTCAGCCGCTCTTCAGTAAATACTGAATGATAGGGCTGGCCATCTTTCACTCAGCACCTTAAATACCTGGAAAAACTTTGAAGATTTCTAATGAATTTCTCTTCTCAAAGAGTATTTATTTTTAAGAAGACATTTATGTGATATTTGTAAACAAATGAATCCTCGGTGGTTGGAATATGCAGTGAAATAGCAAAGAATCCTTTTTTGTATTCTGAGAAAAGTGCTTCATACCACAGTTAGAATTTTGTATGCACTAATCAAAAAATGTCTTATAGACTCTAAAGTTTAGGTGATGGAATTGTACATGAAAATACTATCATTCCTCTTGCTGGTTCTGTGATTTTTTGAGCATTAGCTTAGAGCAGTGGTCCTCAAAGAACGTTCCCTTTTCCAGAAGCAGCTGCATTAACTGGAAACTTGTTAAAATGTAAAATCTTGTGTTGAATCAAAACATTTGGGTGGGACTAACAATCTAGGTTTTAACAAGTTTTCCAGGTTATTCTAATGACAGGCTAAAGTTTGAGAAACACTGCTTTATGTGTTCTGAGTAGTTGATTTTACATTGGTATTAAAATTGATTCTCCCGTACCTGGA